TCGCTCTACAGTGATTTCACTGGAACGAATTAACGTCGTCAAGCGAGGCACCACTGTAATTGAATTTGTCCAAGCAGAAGCAGCAGTAGGTGCAGAAGCAGTGGCATGGGTGCCAAATGGAACACCTGCTTGGGCTTCCTTTGGGTCCAGGTTGGCGCTGGAAGAACCCCTTCCTTGGCTGCTGGCTACCAGGCTGTCTTGAAGATCTTGTTAACATAGATAGCCTTGAACAACCTGGGATTAGATTATTGGAAAGGTCATTTCTCCGTTCATAGTTGTGTTAGACTGCTGTAGTCAATTGTGGAGATACTGCTTGTGACATTACATCTTATTGACTCCCATAGAACAGAGGCCCAGAAGAGAACATTCTGTTGCCCCTCTTCTCAGGAATCTCTCGCTTTGTGTTCCAGATTTCTTTTGAAAATACTTCATTTTTGTTCAGATGTTTTCTAATGTTTGACGTAGGATACGGTTTTTCCTTTTCCTGGTTATTGGCTTTATCATGTTTCATTTAATTTCTTATATCCATTTTGTTTACCACTTACATTTTTTTAAAAAAAATTATAAGTGACTTTGAAAGGTGTTGCACTCAGGCTGTAGAAAGATCTTATCCAAGTGATAATTTAAGAAAGTTGGGTGTGCCTGTTCATTTGGATTCCAGTCCGGCCATAGTTAATTGTGATGAAAATGTCAGTCTTATGCTTTCTTAATGGGAAGGAAGTCCCACTGAAACAAGTGAGAATTGCTTCCGAATGAATTATACATAGAGGTCTGGTGCATATCCTGTTGAAACTAATTTGGCTGGCTTTTATATTTAAATAGGACTTTTGCTGCTGTATGTTCAGCATCAACACAACCATGCAGCTTCCTTGGACCTTAGTTTTCTGGCAGGGTGGATTTGTTTTAAGTCAAACTGATTGTAATCACAATTTCAGTCACTGATCAGAAAGTATTTTATTTTTTAAAAATCTGATTTAAAAATTTAAAAACCTGGATTTTTTATTTAAATTGGATTTCTTAAATAAAAGGCTTATTGAGTAGTGATTTAAATCATGGTTTATATTGTGATATCAATTGATTTGATTTAAATTAAATCCACCCTGATTCCTGGTATGCCTATATTCCTCATGAAGGCTAGGTAGCCCTCTTCCACAGAGACAGTTATTACATGTCCCCTCAAACCCATGGGGACCAACATGATGAGTGGCCTCTAGAATGCCCTGTCATTAACAGCCCTGCTCAGCTTTTGAAAACTCAAAGCTGTTGTTTTGTTTATTGAGTCAACCCGTCTTGTATTTGGTCTTCCTCTTTCCCTACTATTAACAGCCCTGCCCAGCTTTTGAAAACTCAAGGGTGTTGCTTTATTTATTGAGTCAACCCGTCTTCTATTTGGTCTTCCTCTTTCCCTACTGCCTTCAACGTTTCTGTCATTATTGGCTTTATCCAGCTAGCTCATCTTGTCTTCTCATGATGTGTCCAAAGTACACCAGCCTCTGTTTTGTCATTTTTTTGCTTCCAAAGAGGGCTCAGGCTTGATCGATCTGGTACCTCCTTGTTTGTCTTTCTGATGGTCCCTGGTATTTGTTAAGTGGTCCTCCAATGTTTAGAGCTTAAGCAGGGTCCATGGTCATCAGTTGTGTGGAACAGTACCACTGATGTGCTCCATGACAGCTAGTCCAAAGGCCATTCTCCAAGTGTGTGATGCACCACGGTAGGTGGATTGCTTAGCATGGATTGTGGAGATCTTGTACAGTGGTGCCTCGCTTAATGACGATAATCCATTCCAGGAAAATCGCTGTTAAGCGAAAACATTGTAAAGCAAAATTAAAAAGCCCATTGAAAACCCCTCAATATGTTCCAATCGGCTAAAAACTCATTGTCCAGTGAAGATCCTCCATATGGTGGCCATTTTCGGTGCCCGTATAGTGAGGAATCCGTCCCTAAGCACAGTGGGGAGCCATTTTAAGCACCTGGCAGCCATTTTGAAAACCCGACGATCAGCTGTTTTGATCGTCGTAAAGCGAAAATTGGTTCCCGAAGCAGGGAACCGATCATCGCTAAGCGAAATTCCCCCATTTAGTCTATTGTTTTGCGATCGCAATTGCGATCACAAAAACATTGTTGTAAAGCAGATTCGTTGTAATGCTGGACAATCATTAAGCGGAGCATCACTGTTTTACATTTTATCATTTAATGAAATTAACATGAACAAGGAAGCACAGCCTAGGGTCAACGTCAACTAAAAATGTATACCACACAGGATAGAGAATTGATAAAATGTGGGGAACCAGTTCCAGGAGTAAGCTGGTGTGGGGGGATTTTAGTGGTTCTTTAAAAGACAAAGTGTAGGTCATGATCAGAATGTCCACAGCTGATTTACTATAGAGGAAACGTTGTAAAGATTTTAACAGCTGTTCTTAAGCCTGAACTAGGAGCTGATCACCACCTGAGAGGCTGCTGAAGCGAAGGGAGAAAGTGGAAGTAGTTTCTTTACATCCATGCTATTTGTGATGCTTAAAGCCTCTACCCTTGCCATTGGTATGAACGGGCCCACGTCCTAGTCTGAAGCAGCAGCTCCTGAGTAGCTCCACTGAATTTTCTGAAAAGTGCACACAAATGCATTTTCTATGGGCAGTTATAAAATTGTTTCTTTTCATATTTTGCATGTGAAAATGTAACAATATTTCCTGTTTAGCCTGGAAGACAGCCTGCATTTATTCACTATGCTGACTCTGAAAAATCCCAAAGAGCTTAATTTTTATCACAGCTGCAAGTTATGACTTTAATTGGCCATTTATTGTAACGATTTTATAGCTGTGCTTTTTTTGTTCCATAGATATTTTCAGTAGCACGTCCAACACTGCTTATTCTCTGTGTTTTGCCTTCTAGAAGGAAGAAAGATAAAGTTAATACCTCTGTTTCCTGTGGTTTTTTTTGTGTTTTTCTTTAATTATTCAATGGCATGTTTCATAATCTAGCATGGTTTATATTTGTAAAACAGCAATCATTAAAAAAAACTGTGGTTGTGCAATTTTATGCAAATTAAACTTTTTTTTTCAAATGGGAAAGTTGCCTTAAAATGCCTGGTTCTCGTTATTATAAAACCACATTATTCATTTGGGTATTTTCATGTAGTATCCAACAAAACATAGTTAACTTTAAGATCGTGTTGTATTAAATCAATATTTATTTATATACCCACTAAAGGGTATATAAGACTGTTGGATGAGATGCCTTTATCGTATAGTATTAGAGGTGGGGCATGCTGTGGTAGTTATACTTTTCTGTTACCACATTTTGAGGAGTGATATTTAGCCAAAGTCTTTGTTTAACAGTACAGATGGAAGTTAACAGAGCTTCAGAAGTTGAAGAATGATGCATATTTGTGCTGTCTGCTGGGTATCGGATTCTTTTCAGTGCTTTAGAGAGTGCTTCTCAACTTTGGGTCCCCAGATATTTTTGCTTCAACTCCCAGATGTTCTGGCCAGCATAGCTAGTGGTGAGGTCTTCTGGGAGTTTTAGTCCAAGAACATCTGAGGACTCAAGGTTGGGAATCATTGCTTTAGCAGTTAGTCTTAATGTGGGAAAAATTAGTACAGTACTCATCAGTGGCTCAAAGTGTTTGGATCTGACAGCTCTTGCCACATGTTGTGCCTGCATCTAAATTTTTCTGAGGTTAGAATCGTATGATAATCTTTTCCCATTTGTCCCCTTGTGTAGCTTTTTTCTGCATGTTTTTTTTTTTTGGATAATATGAATAAATAGAACAAGACTGACACAGAAATGACTTTTCCCCTGACTGAACACCCTTGTTTGTTCATTGATGCAACTATTTCTTAACGAACACCTGGAAGTCTCAGTGGTGTGGAAGCCTATCTGTGAAGAGTTGTTTACAGGGTGGGCCCTGCCCACAGTGTGGGTGTCAGGGGATGGGATCAGCATCATGTCTGGGTGCAGGTCCAGCATTGTGGCCTGCTCCTGGTTATTACTTGGGTCCCTTTTATAAGACAATTGTGTGAAAGGGACTCTAGTTGAGCTGCGGACTATAATTCCGCATGGATTTGAACTTACAGCTGAAGATCTACAGATCTTACAGCACAGAGGCTTCTGCGGTTTAACCTGCAGCGCCACCAGGTCAGGCCTGGTATCAAATGGGAGACCACCAGGTAAAATGAAGGATCTCTAGGTAGGTCTAGGAAGGACTTTTGTCTCAGACTCTGAAGAGCTGCTGCCAATCAGAGTTGGTAATGCTGGACTAGATGGACCAGTAGTCTTGACACAGGTTTCTATGTTTTCAGTACACATTTCACACATTGGGCTTATTAGAATTTTAAAAATCTACCAGGAAACCTTTTGATTTGTTTGGTTCCTTCCAGTCGCATGACATGCAGTGAGCTCATGTAGCTCAGATTTTGATTTGCTTGATTGAATATTGATCACCAAAGTAAGCCCTGCTTAGAGAATTGTATATATTCTGCGGTTTATTTGATTATGACAAAATCAGTTTATATTATAACATTTTAAAGACTGTGTTATATTGGCTTTCAGTAGGTGACTTGTAGCGAGTAATGAAAAAATACAGTACACAGGGAAATTTAAGGGTTGTTTTTCCGTTACTGAATCCCAGCCAGCATGGGGACTGGCTTTGCTTCTTGACATAGTGCAAAAAGTAACTTCAGCAAAATTTAAGAAGTTTGAATTTCCAAGAAACAGACACCTAATTCCTGGCATCGGCAGCAATACAAATTACAGTTACTAGATACATGTTTTAGTAGCTTACAGGGTATCCAAAATTGAAACTTCCACTAGGATCTACTACCCCCGCTCAGTTTTTGTGAGATAAGAAGCTCAAAATAGATAGCCTTTCATATCTTGTGGAATGACGAGGGCATAAGTTAAGGTTAGTATTTGTAAGGCATAAATATCACTGTGGTCAAAGTCATCTTCACGCTTAAAACATGGAAAAATCTACTAAGACCTTATTACTGTTCAATCTGCAGGTATCGGAAGGCTGTTCAAAAATGGGATGAAGCACTTCAGTTAACTCCAGAAGATGCTACCCTCTATGAGATGAAATCACAGGTATGTGTAGCAGTGCCTTGGGAGCATAAAAACCTTGTTTTGCCTGTAGACAAGATGTAGTACAGGTAGCTGTGAAAGAAATCCAGCACTTAAACGATGATAAAATACAAGGAACACACAACATAATATTGTCATAACATAGCCAGTAAAGGCAGCAGAATAGAAAAATCTTTAAATGGCTACATGTCTGGTCTGTTTGCACCTGTAACATTTCCTCCATCCATAGCTACTATGGCACAGCACGAACATGACCAACATACTGTTTGTTGCTTTAGACTAGATATAGGCAGTGTGGCTCATAGGCCACATGTGGCCCCAGGTAATTTTTTGTGCTCTTCTGTGATGGGAGAAAACCCTTTTAAAAAAGTAGAATAGCATAAAATAACATTTTACTTAACATTAAGAAAATAACATTCATTTTATTTTTTAAAAATTTTTTTTACCCCTCCCATCTAGTGGCTACTACTCTCAGCATCTAACTGCCAAATATCAACATCAACCTAACATAACATAATGTAAAATTCATTAATAGGCATGAATTAAAACAGAAGCAGAAAGGAAGCCCTCCCTAAGCCTAACTATATTTAAAATCCTAAACTAATATAAAAGATGGTAGCAAAATCAAATCAATTAACCTATATGAACAGTGGGTCATCAGTAATTAAAGGAGATAAAATTAAGCAGGGCTAAGACTGCAGATAGCCTGGGTAAAAATCCACATAGTTATGTGGTTTGTTTGTTTTGGTTTTGCTCCTAGAAGCCTTTAGGAGCAGCAGTTCATAATTAAAAAGACTCCCCCATTCACTTCTTTTCCTAATCAAAACGAAGTAAACATCCAGGCATTTCTAGTTGGGATTTTTTAAAATTTAAAACAATATTTTCTTGTATTTCTGAGGCTGATCCACCACTTCATGGGTGCTACCATTGAAAACATGACCTCCAGGCATGACAGAATTGACCACCTCTACTTTTGACTTCAGAACAGTGGAAATTGGGGATGAGGAATTCTGAACCATTGTGAGTGATCATTTCCAGGAGTGAAAATTGACTTTGGACTTCAGAACAGTGGAAATTGGGGACGAGGAACCATTATGAGTGATCATTTCCAGGAGTGAAAATTGATTTCGGCCAAAGTCTCTATCTGGCACTGTAGTCAACAGCCTGTTCTCTGATATCAGAAGCGCAGATATGGCTCCAATCCAGTCCACAGAGGATTGTGGAGTAAGGGAGAATTGGCTCTCAGTCTAAAGTCATTCTCCTGCCACATGTTCTACAAGCTCAAGACACCGGCTAATTGAAATCGTTTAGCAGGATTGTTGTATTCAAATTTATGCTCCTTGAACATGGTTTGAAGATCTCCCTGCCCCCCACAAGTCTTAAGCTCTGTCTGTAAATGACTTAGTAGATAATCGTTCTGAAGTCTTTATATAAATGTGCACAATAAAATGTACATTTTATCATACATCCAGTTTTCTCTGGGTGGGAGTATGCTTGTTGGTTAGCCTGCCAACGGTGATTGTAAGCAGTTGTAGTACAGTGGTGCCTCGCTAGACAGTTACCCCGCATGATAGTTTTTTCGCTAGACGTTGACTTTTTGCGATCGCTATAGCGATTCACAAACAGTGATGGCTATGGGGGAATTTCACTGGACAATGTTTGGTCCCTGCTTTGCAAACTGATTTTCACTAGACAACGATTTTGACAGCTCCCTCTGCATTCGCAAAGCGGGTGGTTTCGGGACCTAAGCTTCGCAAGGCAGCTATTTAAACAGCTGATTGGCGGTTCGCAAAGCGGCTTTCCTTTGCCCATTCTTCACTAGACAACGACGATTCTTCCCCACTGGAATGCATTAAACAGGTTTCAATGCATTCCAATGGGGAAATGCTTTTCGCTAGACGGTGATTTCGCTAAACAGCTATTTCAGTGGAACGGATTATTATCGTCTAGCGAGGCACCACTGTATTTTGGAGTAGCATATGAATCTGATTGGGATATTTTTTTTTCCTATGCCATGTGTAGCAAGAGTATTAATTACTTCTGGCAAAGATGACATTGTCTGATTATTGGGTGAAAGAGTAGATAAACACCAAATGTGTCAAAGGCTGTACCAGTATCATGTAAGGTATGACCCAAAGGCAAAGGTGAACAATCAGCAGAGATTTTGTACTTACACCTAGTGCTGCTGCTTTCTAATTCAGACTGTAATGTTTCAGAGGACATTTCTTATCTCATTGTTCTTATCTAGCCAATATAGGAACAAAACCTGGAAGAATCTCTCTACATTACATTTTTACAACCACAGTATCCGGTCATTGTTTCTACTACCTAAGGTCACATGGGGAGAATTTACACTTATTAGTGGCTTATGTGGGGGGATTTTCCAGATTGCTGCCATATGATTTTCCACTGCTGAACCTGTGTAACTTTCCTACGGAAGTTCACTTTGAATGAGACAAGCAAATAGAATGATCCTGGTATGGAAATGATTTCACTGGCTCAGTGAAGTTGCTGTCAGAGATGAGCATGTCTGATGTGCATAATCTGGTACCTCTGGAGAGATCAGCATTTTTGTAACAAGTGTAAGTGGATCTACCATGGTCTTGAAGATACATAATTGGAAAGCTGAGCACATCTAAGATAAATGACACATAATATGTGTAAAATTAGGAGTGTGATGTCACCCAGTATTAGGGCTTGTATGATTCTGATGAGATACAAGTGCTCTCTGGAATCAAAATCTTCATTCTAATGATGCCTTCTAGAACCAGAAGGTTTTGGTGATCTGCTAGGCTTTCAGAAATGGAATGGCCAAGAAATGTAATCAGGATCAAAGCCAATTTTTATGCATGAATGTGTGATAAAACCCTGTAAAAATACTTACAAAATGTAACATTGCCAACTAACTGGTTGCAGAGGTTACTTTCATTTCAGCTATTTGAAATTTTGCATTATAAATAAGCTGGTTTAAGGCTTGCTCCTTATTTCTCACCTTTCCCCTTTAGGTCCTCATGTCCTTGCATGAAATCTTCCCTGCTGTGCATGCTGCAGAAATGGCTGTCCAAAGAGATCCCCGTTCTTGGGAGGCTTGGCAGACACTGGGACGTGCCCAGCTTGGTTTAGGAGAAATCACCCTGGTAAGTTCAAAAGGCAAAGCCAAGCCAAGCCAAAACCTATAGCCAGTGTAGCCATACGTCAAAAGTGTTTCTCAAGCAATTCAGTCTTGTAAAAACAATATGGTATGTAGAAAATTAAGGAATCTGTTCTCTACTGGTTATTTCTATCATGGATTATTCAGCTAACGATCAAGATGAGCTTAGTTCAGCTGATGCTCTCAAAATGCTGCAGCTTTTACGGTATGTGAAATTATCTTTAAGCTTCCTTAAATGAGATGTTCACATGCATCTCTTTGCTCCTATGGAAACCATTTATTTCTCTCTCTTTTATAAGGGAACATTCAGATGTGTTGCATTGACTGTTCCAGATGGGTATCTTCATTAATCAGTGGAGAGGATTCATAATATTTTCCATGAAACACAGTGTCTTTCTTCATGTTTTTCCCCTTGTGAATCACTAGAAGCTTTGGAGGATTGTACTTGGCTTTCCAAACATGCTTTTAAAAACATGGGCAAGTCCCAGGGTCTTCTTCTGATTCCTTATCTGTTTGGGGATGAATCAGAAATGATCCAGTCAGTTTCACGGAAACGCTTTCCTTCAGGGTAACTTGTATGTTAATGAAATAGTTTTGTTTTGTTCTGAATTACATCTGCTTCTGATATCAGGTGGGAAGAACAAAGAAGGTTTCCATCTTTTCAGCATCATAGAAATTATCTGGAATCAAAGTGCTTGCTCAGAATAAATCAGATCTTTTCTTGTTCTTGGAATTGATAGTGATCAGCCACCTTGACTTTTCCATGTCGTTTTTTCCAGGCCTCATTAGAGATGTTTTTGTTTGTGGGCCGGCAACCCAGGACAGAACAAAACAAGATGTAGAGTCTCTGCTTTTATTTGTATTGGCTTTGCTGTAAAGAACTGTGGTAAAGAAGTGAGGACTAAAACAGAAAGGCAGCATAAAGCAAGAAGGGGAGCACCATCTACAGACCCAATAAAAATTCAGCCCCTTAGTACGAGAGGCCTCACTGTGAGGCCTCTCATACTACATATTGCAGGATTTTCATTTTCCCATAACATCCAATATTTCACATATGGAAGTGGCCGTAAACCTCACAGTTGTTGCCCAGTTAGAGCAGAAGAACATAAGGAGCCATGCTAAATCAAAACAGAGGCCAACTATATGTTTATGACAGTGGTTCTCAACCTTTTGGTCTTCCACCTGTTTTGGACTTTATCTCCAAGAAATGTCATTAGATAGCTCCATGTTGCTCTTGAGCAACATCTTTAGCCTCTTATTTCCCCATCTTCCACTTGCTCCTTGACTTGATTCTGTAGGCCAGGAATGATCAAGCTGGGGGAAGGGGGTGCTTAGGAGCCAAATTAGTGCCCCCAGCCCTCTCCCTAGGCTGCATGGAACTTCCAAATGCCTCTTCTTAGTCATGTAAAAAAAATCCAAACAGGAAGTACCTGGCTGAAGACATTTGGTGATTTGCTTTTATTTTTGCCTTCTTAAAAACTTTTTGGGGAGGTGGGGTACCCTTAAGACAAACTCTTAAGACCCAAGAAGATTGCTTGTACTCCTAGAGGCCTCCAGGAGCAAAAAAACCCCCACAAGTTTGGATTTTTTAAAAAAAAACAATCCTCCCCCTCTTTTTTTTAATGGTATCATCTTGGGACCCAGTTCCAAAAATTCTCCTGAGGACCACATGCCGTCTGTGTGATGCACTTTGCCACCGCCCCCTCTGCTTCAGACCCCAGCATCTGTGCCCATGTCCTCCACTCTAAATAGCATCATCGCTTTAGTTCTATGTGTGTCATTATATCCACAGACATTCATTGCCATGTAACCTGTATTTGATTGATGATCCCTTTTTTGCACACTGCCTGTACAAAGTGTGTTTGCTATACAGCAGAGCCGAGCCTGGGAAAGTGATGTTCTAGGATTACAACTCTTGGACATCTTTACTGGCCATGCTGGCTGGGGGAGGCTGAGATTGCGGCCCAAGAAATAAGTTCCAAGCTATGGGCGATTACAGTCACACCTTTTTCAACTTAAGACACCCATCAGCTGTGGAAACTGGTTGCTGTTATGTGCTCTCAAGTTGCTTTTGACCTTGGGTGAACCTACGAATGAACATTCTCTGAAATGGCCTGTTTTCAGGAGCCTTGCACAGCTCCTGCAGACTCAAGGCTTCATGTTATTTTAGGAACCAAATCCATCCTGTATTTGGTTGTCGTCTTTTCCTGCTGCTTTTCTCCTGTTCCAGCATTGTTATCTTTTCTAGAGAATCCTGCCTTCTCATTGTGTGCCCAAAGTAGGTGACCCTCAGTTAAAACATTTTTGTCTCCAGAGCGAGGTTCCTTCTAAGCTGGCTGCGTGCACATGCGTGCCCCTGCCTTCCTGCATGCAGCTGTCTTCCTCCTCTATGCAGTGATTGAATTAGGGTATGATTGCAATGGAACCCTGCGCTCACAGAAGGGGCAGATTCACTTGAACGCAGGGGCAAAGTCACACGAAAGAGAGGTGGAGCCCTAAGCAGTGGAACTGAAAGTTAGAGAGTACATTGCTGTAGAGATAGTTCAAGCATGATTAGATCTAGGCCCACTTGTTCATCTTTTTGGCAGTCCAGGATATCCGCAAAGCTCTCCTCCCACACATTTTGAACAAATCATTATTTTTCCCTGTCAGCTGTCTTAACTTTCACACCTATGATCAAAAATACAAGAGTGTGGGTGATCTTGGTCTTGGTCTCCACTGACACATCCTTACATTAAATCAGTGGTCCCCAACCTTGGGCCTCCAGATGTTCTGTTGAAGTCTAGATTTCTGGACTTCAACTCCCAGAAATCCTGTCCAGCAGAGGTGGTGGTGAAGGCTTCTGGGAGTTGTAGTCATTAGCATGCCAACATGCTAATGAAGAAGGCACAGAAGAGGCTGTATTTCCTGAGAATGCTCGGCAAGTTAAATTTTATTTCAGCATTTACTTCTGTCATACTATCGTAGCACTATTGAGAGTGTCCTAACCTATGGCATTCTGGCATGGTTTGGGAGTAGCTCTGTAGCGGACAAAAAAGCTCTACAGAGAACCATTAAAATTGCCCAGAATATCATTAGTCAACTGTATGGCAGTAAATGGAAAAGACAGCTGGCAGTGTACATTTTGGGCAACCTTCAAAAACAGCTAGAAATTGATCAACAGCTCTGAGTAATATTACAGCTTTATTTTCTTGTTCAGCCAAGCAGCTCTGGCCTAGGGGTTGCTTCTGACTGCTGATCCCTTAATAGTCAAAAGGCTCCATCCTCCCTTAAATGGCATGGATTGTTAAGTCCATTCTGGGAACTGAGCTGAGGTCCATTCTCCCCTTTCCCACTGCACACCACAAATTAGGTCTGAGGGCTGTGAGCAGTAGTGTGGGCATTAGTGAAATGTTTGTCTTTCATGTGCAGAAGAGCATCTTAGATTGGAAGTCAGCAAGGCACATTATCCAATACAGTGATGCCTCGCTAGACGATTGCCTTGTGGGACGAAAATCCACAAGACGAATGATTTTTGTGATCACTATGGTGCCTCGCAAGACTTTTTTTCTATGACCGTGCTTTGCAAGACTTTTTTTTTGAGACCGATGCTTCGCAAGACTTTTTTTTAGCAGGGAATCTTGCAAGATGATTTTTTCACAAGACGATGATTTTCGCAGAACGATTTAAAATCGTCTTGCGAGGCACCACTGTATACTATTTCAGTTTCTTCATGGTCAACATCAAAGCTGTGTAGTTCTTCTGTAGTCATGATTTTTGTCTTCCTCATGATCAACTCCAGTCCTGCTTGGCACTTTCATCATTCACTTTCGCTAACGGTCGGTTCAAGTCATTATGTGGAAACTTAAGCCTTCCTAAACAAGCTATCCTTCAAGTCATTATGTGGAAACTTAAGCCTTCCTAAGCTATCCTTTGAAAGACTTCACAGCTACAGTTTTAAGAAATCTCTGAAAAACTTCCAGGAAGTATTATATTTTTAAGGAATGTAATTTGAAAAGCACTGTCTGATTTAGTGGGACCAGTGATGAAACAATGAAAAATGGATGAGCTGCAGACTAACTATGTTGTACCCCTTATATATTTCATTTTAAAAACTGCAGCCATTCTGCTGGAATACTTTTCCTAAACTGAAGGCCATTTTGTTAACAGAAGTGACTTTTTCTGTTGAGCTGCCTTTCTGTTGTAATGTGCTGAATGACCCGTTCCAGTAATTGAAGGTAAAAAGGCTATAAGAGCACGAATAGTTGAGAATTCTGATCAGAGTCATCAGGCGCAGCCCCTAGCTTATAGCAATGACCACAAAAGTGAGGAAATGTATTTGTAATAATAGTAATTGTGCACAATCAATTCTTTCTTATGGTGCCCCTTTTCAAGGGTTTCTTAGGTAGAGAGTACTCAGAGGTGGTTTACAGTTCCCTTCTGGGGGCCATCCTAGGACTGTGCAGCTTGCCCAAGGCCACCCAGGCTGGCTCTTCTCCTGGAAGGCACAGTGGAGCCTTGAACTCCCAACCTCTGGGTCTGCAGGCAGATACATAAACCACTGAGCTATATAGCGAGCTAATGTATCTGTGGGTTATGGCAATTATGAGTTTAACCAGAGAAGAAATCAGTTAAAACATAATCATGAAACACACAAGCTGACAAGGAATAGAAGGAATATGATTAGTTTTTAAAGGGACTTGGACAAACATGCCGTCATTACCAGTTCATTTCCCAATCTGTTTGGTGCAGAAGCAATTATCTGACAATTTTCGGTCATTACCAATTGACTATGCCAAAAAAAAAATGTTCTGCAATTTTATGTCCTTCTTTCTTCAATACTGTGTTACTGGAATCAGTGCTAGTACATCACCAGACTGAGTTTGAGCCCTGTCTCTTGGATCTTGGTTCTGGCTTGGTCTTCAGGATCTTACTCGTTTCACAGATTTGTCACTAGATCGCCTGAAATGAAAGATACTTAAAATTCCAAAGTTGAATAATAAATGA